CGGGGTGGGTGTGTGCTTCCTGTTTCGGAGGCGTCTGCTCGGGTCGGAAATGGTGTGGAAAGGAACCGTGTTTCAACCCAGCTGTCTTCTTTCTCTTCTTTTAAAAAAAGCTCTGAGGCCTAATTTTCCTGACCTAAATGATCATTTTTCGTCTGTCACCTGTGGGCCATATTTCCTGATTTCACATTGTCCAGCCACCCTCTGCTTGGACAGGGTGGACCGGGGAGACTACAACTCCCCAAAGCCTCAGCGGCAGGGCGCTCTGCGGCTGGGCTCGTCTGAGTGACAGGTCGGGCAGCCATTGGCTTCACGCGGTCTCAGACTCCGTTGCCAATCAGATGCTGAGTGGTTGTGTCGCCCTGTTTCTGCGGCTCGGGGCGGAAATGGTGTGGAAAGGAACCGCCTCGAGCCACGCCCTTCGCGGCTCCTGACTGGACGCGGGAAGTGACGTCTGCGCGCACCACGCGGCAGTCGTCCCGCCCATGTCCAGCTCGGACCGGACGGGGCAGCTTCGGGTCCGTGTCCCGCGCACGTCCCTGGCAGCCCCTGAGCGGGCGCGTACCCGCCTGTCCGTCCGCCAGAACCTCGCCCTGTAGCTTGGCCCTGCCTGCCCTTGTCTGGGAGGAGGAACGCGCAGTAGGAGCCCAGAACCTGTCTTCTGCCACGCTGCCTGCCCGCGCCCAGCACGGGCGGGACAGGCCGCACTGTTCCTCCTCATCCAGCTAGAGCCAGTCAGGGCCGGGCAGAGGGCGAGGTTCTGAACCTAGACCTGCGCCTCACTCGTCCAGGGAGGCCAGGCAGCCACCGGCGAGGAAGGAGGTGGCGTTCTGAGCGCGCACTGGAAAAAGTCATTAGCGGCAGTGCAGAGGGCGGGAGGAGGCGCCCTCCGGCAGCTTCCGGGTCGCGTTAGGGGCAGCAGGAGCGCTAAGGGGGTGGGGTGCTGGCGGGAGACTGACAGGTTCCCGGTCCAGTCAGGGGCAGAAGGAGCGCCAAGGGGGTGGGGTTTAGGCGGGAGAGTGACAGGATCCCCGTCCAGTCAGGGGCAGAAGGAGAGCCAAGGGGGTGGGGTTTAGGCGGGAGACTGACAGGATCCCCGTCCAGTCAGGGGCAGGCAGCACCGCCAAGGGGGTGGGGTTTAGGAGGGAGACACACAGGATCCCCGTCCAGTCAGGGGCAGAAGGAGCGTCGAGGGGGTGGGGTTCAGGCGGGAGACTGACAGGTTCCCCGTCCAATCAGGGACAGAAGGAGCGCCAAGGGGATGGGGTGCTGGCGGGAGACTACAGGATCCCGGTCCACTCAGGTGCAGCAGGAGCGCCAAGGGGGTGGGGTTTAGGAGGGAGACTGACAGTTTCCCCGTCCAGTCAGGGGCAGCAGGAGCCCCAAGGGGGTGGGGTGCTGGCGTGAGACTGACAGGATCACGGTCCAGTCAGTGGCAGGCAGCACCGCCTAGGGGGTGGGGTTTAGGCGGGAGACTGACAGGTTCCCCGTCCAGTCAGGGGCAGAAGGAGCGCCAAGGGGGTGGGGTGCTGTCGGGAGACTGACAGGATCACGGTCCAGTCAGGGGCAGGCAGCACCGCCAAGGGGGTGGAGTGTAGGCGGGAGACTGACAGGTTCCCCATCCATTCAGCGGTAGAAATAGCACCAAGAGGGTGTGGTTTAGGCGGGAGACTGACAGGTTCCCCGTCCAGTCAGGGGCAGGCATGCGAACGCTAAAGGGGTGAGGTTTAGGCGGGAGACTGACAGGTTCCCCGTCCAGTCAGGGGCAGAAGGAGCACCGAGGGGGTGGGGCTTACGCGGGATACTGACAGGAACCCTCGTCCAATCAGGGGCAGGCATTGAGCCTAAAGGGGTGGGTTTCTGGCGGGAGACTGACAGGTTCCCGGTCCAGGCAGGGGCAGGCAGGGGAGCTAAGGGTGTGGGCTTCTGGCGGGAGACTGACAGGTTCCCCGTCCAGTCAGGGGCAGAAGGAGCGCCGAGGGGCTGGGGTTTAGGCGGGAGACTGACAGGATCCCGGTCCAATCAGGGCCAGGCAGGGGAGCTAAGGGGGTGGGTTTCTGGCGGGAGACTGACAGGTTCCCGGTCCAGGCAGGGTCAGGCAGGGGAGCTAAGGGGGTGGGGTTCTGGCGAGAGACTGACAGGTTCCCGGTCCAGGCAGGGGCAGGCAGGGGAGCTAGGGATGCGGGGTTCTGGTTGACTACGGGCAGCTTTTGGTCCGAGTCAGGAGCTGGCAGGGGAGCCAAGGAGGTGGGGTTCTGGCGGGAGACTGACAGGGTCCCGTCCAGTCTGGGGCAGGCAGGACCGCCAAGGGGGTGGGGTTCTGGCAGCAGAGTGACAGTTTCCCGGTCCAGTTGTGGGCCGGCAGGGGAGCTAAGGCTTGGGGTTTGGGCGCAGACTGACAGGTTCCTGGTCCAGTCAGGGGCAGGAAGGGGACCCAAGGAGGTGGGGTTCTGGTGGGAGACTGACAGGATCCCCGTCCAGTCAGGGGCAGAAGGAACGCCGAGGGGGTGGGCTTTAGGCAGGAGACTGACAGGTTCCCCGTCCAGTCAGGGGCAGAAGGAGCGCCAAGGGGGTGTGGTTTGAGCGGCAGACTGACAGGATCCCGGTCCAGTCAGGGGCAGGCAGCACCGCCAAGGGGGTGGGGTTTAGGCGGAAGACTGACAGGTTCCCCGTCCAGTCAGGGGCAGAAATAGCGCCAAGAGGGTGGGGTTTAGGCGGGAGACTGACAGGTTCCCCATCCATTCAGGGGCAGGCAGGGGAACGCTAAAGGGGTGGGTTTCTGGCGGGAGACTGATAGGTTCCCCGTCCAGTCAGGGGCAGAAGAAGCGATGAGGGGGTGGGGTTTAGGCGGGAGACTGACAGGATTGGGGTCCAATCAGGGGCAGGCAGTAGAGCCTAAAGGGGTGGGTTTCTGGCGGGAGACTGACAGGTTCCCGGTCCAGGCAGGGGCAGGCAGGGGAGCTAAGGGGGTGGGTTTCTGGCGGGAGACTGACAGGTTCCCCGTGCAATCAGGGGCAGAAGGAGCGCCAAGAGGGTGGGGTTTAGGCGGGAGACTGACAGGTTCCCCGTCCAGTCAGGGGCAGAAGGAGCGCCAAGGGGGTGGGGTTTAGGCGGGAGACTGACAGGTTTCCCGTCCGGTCAGGGGCAGAAATAGCGCCAAGAGGGTGCGGTTTCTGGCGGGAGACTGACAGGTTCCCCGTCCACTCAGGGGCAGAAGGAGCGCCGAGGGGCTGGGGTTTAGGCGGGTGACTGACATGATCCCGGTCCAATCAGGGGCAGGCAGGGGAGCTAAGGGGGTGGGTTTCTGGCGGGAGAGTGACAGGTTCCCGGTCCAGGCAGGGGCAGGCAGGGGAGCTAGGGATGCGGGGTTCTGTTTGACGACGGGCAGCTTTTGGTCCGAGTCAGGAGCTGGCAGGGGAGCCAAGGAGGTGGGGTTCTGGCGGGAGACTGACAGGGTCCCGTCCAGTCTGGGGCAGGCAGGACCGCCCAGGGGGTGGGGTTCTGGCGGCAGAGTGACAGTTTCCCGGTGCAGTTGTGGGCCGGCAGGGGAGCTAAGGCCTTGGGGTTTGGGCGCAGACTGACAGGTTCCTAGTCCAGTCAGGGGCAGGAAGGGGAACCAAGGAGGTGGGGTTCTGGCGGGAGACTGACAGGTTGCGGGTCCATCAGGGGCAGGCAAGGGAGCTAAGAACATGGGGTTATGACTGAAGATTGACAGGGTCCGGTCTAGTAAGGCCAGGCAGGGGAACAAAGGAGATATGGTTCTGACTGCAGACTTACATGTTCCTGCTCCTTATGGCCTGGCAGGGAGGCTAAGAGTGTGGGGTTCTGGCCTCAGACTCACAGGTTCCTGATCCACTCATGGGCAGGCAGGGGAGCAAAAAGTTGGTGTGATGGCCACAGACAGACAGGTTTCCAGTCCCATCAGGAGCAGTCTGCAGACCTAAGGATGTGGGGTTCCTGTTACAGATTGACATGTACAGTCAATGCTACTCAGCACAGCCACAGGAAGTTGGGTTCTGGGCACAGGCTGTCAGGTCTAGGTACCATCAGGGCCACACAGGGCAGCCTCAGGGAGTGAGGTCCTGGCAGCAGACTGACAGGTTCCCGGTGAAGTCAAGGAAGTGGATTCTGGCTTCAGTACAGTAGAGATTGCTGAACAAAGTAACTCCCTGCATCCAAAGCTTCTGTGCTGTAAGCCCCCCTGTGACTCCCTGTATCCAAAGCTTCCATGTTGTATGTAACTCCGTTTTCCTGCTGATGTAGCCCTTTTTCCCTTTAAAAACTCTCCCTAAGAAAGATCGGGGCCTCACTCCTTCCTCTGCTGTGCTGGTTGGTTGGATGGGGTCCCTGTCGCGGCTTGTACTCCTGAATAAACCTTGCTTTTGCAGTTCGGTGTGATCGACACTCTGGGGGTCTCTGCAGGGATCTAATGATCTGGGCACAGCATACTTTTTGGTACCCAGCAGTTGAATTATTAATAAAGACCCTCCACGACATTGAGAAACTGAGGACTGGATGACTTCAATGCTGAACATGATCCAAAGAAAAATTGATTCCAATTGTTCTCAAGCTTTTGAAAACATGGATATTATCCCAGACTCCTTTTATGAGGCCAGCATCACCTAATTCTAAAACCAGACAAAGATACAATAAGGAAAGATAATTATAGAGCAATGTCTGATGAATATAGATGCAAAAGTCCTCAACAAAGTACGATATAATTAAATCCAACAATGTATCAGCAAGAATGTGCATCAGGACCAAGTCAAATTTATTCCTGGCATGCAGGAATCATTCAACTTATGAAAGTTTAGTAAAGAATGTAGCTAGAAAGAAGGGAAAACTTCTAATTTAGGCATTTTATCCATTTTATTTAACCAAAATATTTGCTGCGACAAGACTTTGCAACATGTGTATTGTGTAAATTATCTGTGAATGTTTTATTTTAACTTGTTTTGCAGGGAGGAAAACCAACATTAGGCAGAAAGTCATATTTGCATTGCTAAGAGACAAGTCCTCTTATGATGTCACAGTAACTCAGGACCATGGTGATGGTTGACATCAGCTAGTCTTGTGTAAGTCTACTAAAGCAACATTTGAGGCCTCAGTTCTCAAAACCAGGCAGAAGCCAAAGAAAAATTTATTTGAGATGGCCCAGGTTCCCTCAGAAGTTCAAGGTGTCTCTCCTCAGAGTGGAACAACTGATTCAGAAAACACCACTGAAGCTCCAGGCTGGTATCCCACAATTGATAATGACTTGGATTTAAGGTCTGTAGTTGAAGAAAATGCCTTTCAAGCTTTATCTGAAGGACCCTTGATAAAAAGACCACGCTATACACTTTGTATGTCTGACACCCCAGAAGGGAATGATTTTGTTTCTCTGACCTTTCCTGTAAAACTTTGGAAGATAGTTGAAAGTGATCAATTTAAGTCAATTTGGTGGGACGAAAATGGGACTTCTATTGTGATAAATGAAGAATACTTTAAGAAAGAAGTGTTGGAAAGAAAGACCCCTTTTAAGATATTTGAAGCAGACAGCATGAAAAGTTTAGTTCGACAGCTTAACCTTTATGGATTTAGAAAAATACGACAAGATTTCCAAAGCTCTGCATCCCTGACTGACTTTCTGGAAGAAGAAAACAACATACCTGTTTTTAGCAAGGTATTCAACATATTCACTTACAACTAATGTAGGCATCACAACTAAGTTTAGTTTGTACCTCACTTAATATATTTATTTATGGAGTAAGACACAAAGTTTAAAATTAGCTGGATCAACATTAAATTTTTATGAGAAGAAAGTTTGAAATTCAAAAATATAAGCAATGTTACTAGTTATTTTGAATCTTATCAATGAGCTCCACACAAAGAAGTTAAGGTCAGTTTAGTGGAACGGTTATCATATTTAAATGTTTGCTAACTTTTACATTTAGGAATAATCAAGTTTTATTTGTTGTAATTATGTTGAACCTGATATTTTAGATTTAATAATTTTATCTATTCATTTATTCATAGATTGCATATATTCATATATATTAATTTGTGACTCTTGGTTTGAAGTATCACTAAATGCTTTCTCCTTTGGTTTCAGTTACTGTTCTATCAGAATCCAAATTTTAAGCGAGGATGTCCCCAACTTCTAGTAAGAATGAAGCGCAGAGTTGGGATTAAACACACATCTCCACCATCTGCTTCTTTAGTTCACAATCTTGACAAGACATACCACAGTGCAGGCGAGTATGTGCATACTCAAAATCCTAGCTCATCTACAGAAACTAATGAAGAAAGGTTACTTTCAACTTCTACAAATTTAAATGTGCCTTCCTACTAGCCACAGAATTGCTAATTCAAATGATCCAGTGACAAGTAATATTTTGACTCCATCATCAACTTTAATTGCACCATCAGTACAATTTGTAACAAATCAACATGCTCTTTTAAATCAAATGACCACTTCTCATAGGCATTCATATAGCACCTACTCTCAAGCACATGGCCATATCCTGAATGTTGTGACAACTACAACTTCTATTTCCCAATTTCAAATATTGTCTCCAGTACAGAATAATTATTTTGGACTGATGGCAAACCGTCCTGTTTTTGCACCTAGACATCCTTCTTTAGCAACAATTGTGGGTCCTTTTTCTAGCACGTTAACAGCAAGCAATCCATGGTTCACTATGCCAATGATAGCTAGTAGAACTGCTGCCTCCCCGCCAATGTCAACTAATCAACCATCCTCAATATACCAATATCCTAATTTTAACTGACCTTCGACTAAATGAAAATTAGACACGGAAAGGTGTTATGTTCATCAGTTCTGAAAAAATAACTGAAATTCTATTACTTGAACAATAAAATGACATGTTCAACTTTATGATTTTTTTTTCTTTTCAAAATATAGTTTTATAGTAAATATTTTATATTGACAGGAGGCTAGTCTACTATTAGTTGTATAGTTTATGAAGTTCCAGTCATTTGATATGAAACTTCACATTGAATATTTGAAAGTTAACTTTATTTCATTTTATATTTTATAAAGAAATGTATTAATACATTGCATTCTCAGGGTCAAAGCAAATGCATTAATAATTGCTAGAACATAATTCTATTCAATTTTTTTAAGTTAGTCTGTTTTTTTTTTTTTTGTAGCTTTTACTTAATCAATATAAATTTCCAAAGTACAGCTTATGGATTACAATGGCTTCCCCCCCATAACATCCCTCCCACCCGCAACCCTCCCCTTTCCCACTCCCTCTTCCCTTCCATTCACATCAAGATTCATTTTCGATTCTCTTTATATACAGAAGATCAGTTTAGCATACATTAAGTAAAGATTTCAGGCCAGCGCCGCGGCTCACTAGGCTAATCCTCCGCCTAGCAGCGCCGGCACACCGGGTTCTAGTCCCGGTTGGGGCGCCGGATTCTGTCCCGGTTGCCCCTCTTCCAGGCCAGCTCTCTGCTGTGGCCAGGGAGTGCAGTGGAGGATGGCCCAGGTGCTTGGGCCCTGCACCCCATGGGAGACCAGGAAAAGCACCTGGCTCCTGGCTCCTGCCATCGGATCAGCGCGGTGCGCCGGCCGCAGCGCGCCGGCCGCGGCGGCCATTGGAGGGTGAACCAACGGCAAAGGAAGACCTTTCTCTCTATCTCTCTCTCTCACTGTCCACTCTGCCTGTCAAAAAAAAAAATTAAAAAAAAAAAAGATTTCAACAGTTTGCTCCCACACAGAAACATAAAGTGAAAAATACTGTTTGAGTATTAGTTATAGCATTAAATCTCAATGTACAGCACACCAAGGACAGAGATCCTACATGAGGAATAAGTGCACAGTGACTCCTGTTGTTGACTTAACAAATTGACACTCCTGTTTATGGCATCAGTAATCACCCTAGGCTCTAGTCATGAGTCGCCAAGGCTATGGAAGCCTTTTGAGTTTGCCGACTTCGATCTTGTTCAGACAGGGTCATAGTCAAAGTGGAAGTTCTCTCCTCCCTTCAGAGAAAGGTACCTCCTTCTTTGATGGCCCATTCTTTCCACTGGGATCTCACTCACAGAGATCCTTCATGGAGGTCATTTTTTTTTTGCCACCGTGTCTTGGCTTTCCATGCCTGAAATACTCTCATGGGCTCTTCAGCCAGATCTGAATGCCTTAAGGGCTGATTCTGAGGCCAGAGTGCTGTTAGGACATCTGCCATTCTATGAGTCTGCTGTGTATCCCGCTTCCCACATTGGATGGTTCTCTCCCTTTTTGATTATATCAGTTAGTATTAGCAGACACTAGTCTTGTTTGTGTGATCCCTTTGACTCTTAGACCTATCAGTGTGATCAATTGTGAACTGAAATAAATCACCGGGAGTAGTGAGATGGCATTGGTACATGCCACCTTGATGGGATTGAATTGGAATCCCCTGGTATGTTTCTAACTCTACCGTTTGAGGTAAGTCAGCTTGAGCATGTCCCGAATTGCACATCTCTTCCCTCTCTTATTCCCACTCTTATGTTTAACAGGGATCACTTTTCAGTTAAGTTTCAGCACTTAAGAAGAATTGTGTGTTAATTACAGAATTCAACCAATAGTAATAGAACAAAAAAAGAAAAAATACTGAAATGGATAAAGTATTACATTGTACATCAACAGTCAGGACAAGAGCTGATCAAGTCACCGTTTCTCACAGTGTCCATTTCACTTCAACAGGTTTCCTCTTTGGTGCTCAGTCAGTTGTCACCGATCAGGGAGAACATATGATATTTGTCCCTTTGGGACTGGCCTATTTCACTCAGCATGATGTTTTCAAGGTTTCTCCATCTTGTTGCAAATGACTGGGTTTCATTGTTTTTGACTGCTGTATAGTATTCTATAGAGTACATGTCCCATAATTTCTTTATCCAGTCTACTGTTGATGGGCATTTGGGTTGGTTCCAGGTCTTAGCTATTGTGAATTGAGCTGCACTAAACATTAATGTGCAGACAGCTTGTTTGTTTGCCAATTTAATTTCCTTTGGGTAAATTCCAAGGAGTGGGATGGCTGGGTTGTATGGTAAGGTTATATTCAGGTTTCTGAGGAATCTCCAGACTGACTTCCATAGTGGCTTGACCAGTTTGCATTCCCACCAACAGGGGGTTAGTGTCCCTTTTTCCCCACATCCTCGCCAGCATCTGTTGTTGGTAGATTTCTGAATGTGAGCCATTCTAACTGGGGTGAGGTGAAACCTCATTGTGGTTTTGATTTGCATTTCCCTGAGTGCTAGTGATCCTGAACATTTAGGTTTTCTGTCTTCCTGGTTCAATTTAGGTAGATTGTATGTGTCCAGGAATCTCTCCATTTCTGATAGATTTCCCTGTTTGCTGGCATACAAGTCTGTGAGTCTAATTGGAGATCCTCTGAGAGTAATCTGACGTTTCTCTCTTGCACATTTTAGGATCTTTTCTTTATGTTTCACTGTGGTGAGTTTAATTACCACGTGTCGTGGTGAGGATCTCTTTTGGTCATGTTTATTGGGGGTTCTATGAGCTTCCTGTACTAGGATGTCTCTGTCCTTCTCCACACCCATAAAGTTCTCTGCTAGTATCTCACTAAAAAGGCCTTCTAATCCTTTCTCTCTCTCCATGCCTTCAGGAACTCCTAGAACTCGAATGTTGGTTTTTTCAATAGTATCCTGTAGATTCCCAACAATATTTTTTAGATTTCTAATTTCCTCTTCTTTTCTTTGGTTTGACTGTATGTTTTCCTGTGCTCTGTCTTCTAAGCCCAATATTCTCTCTTCTGTTTCACTGACTCTGTTTTTAAGGCTTTCTAATGTGTTTGTCATTTGATCTATTGAGCTCTTCATTTCATTTTGGTTTCGCCTCACTATCACACTTTCCTGTTCTACTAGTTTCTGTGTTTCATTTTGATTCTTCCTTAAAATTTCATTTTCATGAGAGAGATTTTCAATCCTGTCCAGTAAGGATTTCTGTAGTTCAAGGATTTGCTTTTGAAAACTTCTAAATGTTCTTATCATAAATTTTTTGAAATCTCTATCTTTCATTTCTTCTATCTCATCATCTTCATAATCTTGAATTGGGGTGTCTTGTTCATTTTGGGGGTGCCATAATGTCTTCCTTGATCTTGTTTCCTCGGTTTCTGCATTTGTTGCTTGGCATTGTGGATACTCTTTGGATGCTTCTTCCCTTGCTGTGGTGTTTTTTTCTTGTTATACTATGACTGTATTAAGTGGACTGTCTGCTTTTGATGGAGCCTTAGAGGCTTGAGATAGGTGTGGCCTGAGAGCCTGTTTGGTTCCTCAGGGTTAAGGGTATGCCAAAGGTGACACTCCCAGGTTAGGCATGGTAAATCTCTCTCTTTTTTTATTTATTATTTTTTTATTCAGAAGGGAAGTAATGCTGCACAGCTAAGCAGAATTGAAGGTAGTCAGCGTCCAATCTCTGGCTCCTGTGGGTATAACATTCATCTGCTCTTTCCCAAGGACCACACAGGTAATCAGTAGAGGGATTTGTCTGTGGAGAAAATCCTGAACAATCATACAACATTGAGTGGGAGAGAGGACCATCAGTACACACGGGTTGGGAGTAGAGCCACTGATGTTAGAGTAGAGGCTGTGATTACAAAGGAATGAGGCCCCAAGTGGGCTAGACAGGGTCTAGAAGAGTTACTAGTGGAGGACCTAAGGAAGCTGCTGTCTAAGCCACAAATAAGTTCTCTGATTGAGAGGCAAATAGAACCTGACAGAAGGGGCTTGATAATCTGCTGGGCTTTATGGTCCTGTCAGTTATGAGGCCCAGACTCATCTATCTCTTTACATGGGGTACATTTTAAGAGAGGTGTGAACCTCCTTGGGGAAGGCACCCTGTTGACTTCCATTACCAGCTGGCCTGGGAGGAGAGTTGGCCAGGTAAAGGCAGATGGCATCTCCAACAGGAAATTTACAGTTCTGCCTGTAATGTTGCAGACCCTGCTTGGCCACCCCTTCAGCAGCAGTGGTCACCTTGGAAGCTGGGCTGAGTGAAAGACTTTTCAGCTTAGAGCCAATAAGATCCATGACTCTCACCTGGGTATCCTTCAACTCCAGGGCAGGTCCATTTCCAGTGATCCAACTCTTGGCTGGCAGAGCTGCCAGGGCTCTTAATGAGCTGATTTCTATTAAAGTCCAGGCTTACCTCATTGAAAGCCACTGTGGTGGGCCGGCGCCGCGGCTCACTAGGCTAATCCTTCGCCTTGCAGCACTGGAACACCGGGTTCTAGTCCTGGTCGGGGCGCCGGATTCTGTCCCAGTTGCCCCTCTTCCAGGCCAGCTCTCTGCTGTGGCCAGGGAGTGCAGTGGAGGATGGCCGAAGTGCCTGGGCCCTGCACCCCATGGGAGACCAGGAGAAGTACCTGGCTCCTGCCATTGGATCAGCGCGGTGCACCAGCCACGGCGGCCATCTTGGAGGGTGAAC